AAAACAAAACAAATAAGAAGTTTGCCTTTTTCTCCTTTAAATTAAAATCTTGTGTAATACTATTTTAATTTCTTTCAAAACATCCATTATCTCCTGGGGCACCGGCGTGGGGCAGGCCTCCCCGGTAGGGGGTCGCTGGTTTACAGTACAGCAAAAGATGCTCTTTATAACTTCACATTTGACATTCAAAAGGGGGATATATTTTTACTGCTATGTCTTTTACTTTGTCTGCCTGAAATGTATAGCACTTAAAAATTTACAAAAATTAATAAAAAAAAATTATAAATGTTGTTATCCCTATTGGAAGAAATTTGTGATTCAAGATGTTTCTGACATATTACAATTATTTTTGTTTTTTTAAATTGCTTCTATTTTGATAAGCAAATTTCTCTTTAATCTCCGATGAACTCTGATGATCAAATCATTGTTGGATCCAACAGAGACTGCAGCTATTTTGAGGGTGGAGGAGGAGCTTTGGCCTGGTGTCTATAAACTGATGGTGGAGGTGAAAGACCAGCAGGGAAAGTCTTGTGAAACCCCACAAAAGTTGAATGTCCATGTCTGTGTCTGCGAGGATGGAGATGTCTGTGCAAACCGAGCCTACATGGGTGGGACTGAGAAGCTGTCGGAGCTTGGAGCTGCAGCCATCGGCCTGCTTTTTCTGGGACTGCTGCTTTTACTGCGTAAGTATGATGGAGTTTAAACTACTTTAAGGATCATACTTTACCCTTTAGCAGCTCTCAGTCCCCATTATCTTTTTAAGCCTTTCCTTTAAGCCACGGGTGATCTAGCTTTAGTTAGTAGGACGATGATGATTTGCCCACACTGAGCTGGGTACAGTCACTACTGATATTGGTGTCCTTTCCACAAGGTTGGAAGAACCTTAAAACAACCTAACAGGGCTGACTCAGCTCCCTCTTCTGATCTTGGTGCATTTCTTTTTGGCACAAGTGGCCTCTGGACAGCTTGTTTATACATGGTGGCTAAAACAGGGTGTTGCTATGTTGCTATGTGCATTCCATTCAATTCAATTTACTTCTATAGCACCAATTTACATCATGTCATCCAAAGTACTTTACAGTTCAACAGATCATCCAGTGAAATTGGTTCAAAATTTTCTATCAAAGGAAAACTCTTCAGCAATCTCTCACACCAGGCATGCTTGTAGCGACAGTGGAGAGGAAAAACTCCCTTTAACAGGAAGAAACCTCCAGCAGAACCAGGCTCAGTGTGAGTGGCCATCTGCTGAGGCCCACTAGGGTTCAAGGAGACAGAAGCAGACATAGAAAAAGAA